GTTTGAACACCCCTGGGGTATTTTTTCTAAAGGGTTAAGGGTGCAAGGGTTTTGTAACTTGACTGCTTTAAGACTTGCACACTTCAATGCCAGAGCCAAGATGACTGGAGAAGGAATTCTGGGAGTTGAAGTCCACAGGTCTTAAAGCTTAAACACCCCTGGTTTTTTTTTTCCATAAAGGGTGAAGGTCTTGTAACCTGACAGCTTTAAAACTTGCGTGCTTCAAATGCCAGAGTTTCTGAGACAACATTTTGGTTGCTAAGCAAGAGCGGTGTTAAGTGATTGTCACCACATTTTACAAGTTGGCCATGACCACCCAGTCACATGGCTGGCAAGCCATTCCCACAAAGCAGGCCACACATACAGAAGAGGTTCTAAAATATTTTGAAACCCACCACTGGTATTCAGACACATTTTTGGTGGAGGGAGGGACTCACGTAAACTCTTAACAGAAATTTAATAATCAGGATTAATGGACCTTCTGTTATTCTGCCTTTCAGCTTCAGTTCCACGTGACTATTGGCCACACCGCCCTGTCTATTTATATTGATTGCCCCTTTCCTAAATGGATGCACTGGGGTGTCATTTTCTATGCCAGCACTTTTATTGTTCTGTTTGGTAACTTCTACTATCGGACATACAAGATGCCCAAGGAGCCCAAGGACCTCAAGCAAAAAGAAAAGAACGGCAAGATCACCAACGGCGTAATAGCAAATGGTACATGCAAACAAGAAAACGGTGCAATTATGGAAAATGGAAAAGTGCAGAAGAAAGCCAAAGGAGAGTAACTTGATCCAAGCCTTAAACATTACGAGCAGTGAGGATTCTTCAATCTGATAATAAAAGAAAAGGAAATACTGTCCTGTCTTTACCAATTGACCTTTAGGTTGTTGAAGAGATAGAAAACATTATTTATGAAGATTGTTTTAACAACAAAATCCTATTGTAATTATGTAATTATTGAGATTCGTTAACTTTATGTAAACTTTTAGACTGCGGGTGTTGGTAACGTAAGAGAGAATTGCTGAAATATTCTTTACTGTCAATCCAGCGGTTAAAATTGCAATTAACCATGGATACAATTGATTTATTGAAACAGGCATCTTTTCGAAAAAGAGAGCTTACAAATTCTACCATTTCTAATCAATGTTTTTAAGCAAAAGAAAGAAGCCCTCGATGAAAATATGGAGAGGGAAGTTTGCTCTCTTTTTTAATAATTTGTAGTTTCTTCATCTAAATTATGCAGTATTGCTGTATTTGGTTGTTCTAATTTCCCCCTAATTTCCCCTGTTACATTGTTGTTCATTGTGTGAAAATACACCTACCTCTTTATTTGGTAAAAAATAACAACCACTATTAAATATTCATTTCTGAAATAAGGAGCCCGTAATATATTATTTAGAAAAAAAAATGTCTCCCGTTCACAAAATGTGTTTTCTTATTAACAAGCCTAAAACCACATTTGAACATCTTTAACAATTCTTGTATCCAATTGCACGAAATGCATGGTGTTGATGCTTTTTCAATGGTCAGATTGTACATAGTGGGTGGATCAAGGATAGAATTCATTTTTTTTTTACTTTGCTAATGGCCTACTTATTAAGCATGGGACAAATTCAATATAAAGAGGAGAGAGATTCATAATTATAAAGAACTTCGCATTGGAAGGCTTGAAATCCACAGTTTACTGGAATCTAATTGTGGCAGCAAGCACTTCAATGCCATGACCAGATGCACTGTACCTATATTGTTGTGAACTGTTTATTCACACAATAATCTTGCTCTTTGGTACTGTAAAACCTCCAGACTCATGTGTTTAAAACAGGCTCTGTGCATGTAATGATGGTTCTTGCAATCGCATCCCTGTAAGAACAATAATGGTTTGGTAAGATTCTATTCTTTCCATATCAGCTTCTCTAAGTCTTATTTCCATAGATGCTCTTCTCATTCCTTCTGCTGCACCATTGTGGCTTCTCTCTAAAGTTTGAGAGAGTACCTCAAGCTTTTCTCTACTATGAACTACATACATTATATTGCACTACAATGAAGAAAGTACAGCAATGACTCTTCATTTCCACAGCCATAGCAATTTGGAGAGAAGTCATGATTTGCTCCGGCTTGGAGTGACTTTGAGGGAGAGCTGCATCACCCAGAAGGTCTTTAGATTTCTCCGTTCTAAATACAAGAGCCACTCCTCATGTATTTTTCAGAAATAGTTCTTTCTAGCCGCATATTTTATATCATGGAAATAAAGGTATTTAGTTGAGAAAGAAGCTCACAGAATAGTCTGTTTTATTTTACCTGTCTTGTATTGTCTACAATAAACAACAGGAAAACAAAATCACATTTCTTGATATTCATAATGTCTCTGACTTGAAAATTTTCAAATGCAAATATAATTTAGGTAAATAGCTTGGCTTTGAAGGTAGTAACAGATTAACTTTTAGACTTGTACCCATAGTAATCCAATTTAGCAATAAAATACTGATGAGCTTCAATTCTCTCATACATATACGCTGCAGTAAATCTGTATAAATTCAATTTTACTTCTATGATCTGAACTTATGTGGAACCAAATACTAATAACTTGAATTTTTGTTGTTTTCAGTGAAGAGGCATTACAGTTTTTTCCTTGGTTCTTTAGTTCCTTCACTAAAGTTCCTTAGTTCTTCCACTGAAATCAGTAGGACGTCGGTGTGCATAATTTTAGCTAGAAAGACTTAGGTGTCAGGAAATAAAGTAAAATTTGTTTAGATCAGGAGTGGGTTGCTGCCGGTTTTACTACCAGTTCGCAACTGGCATACAATGTGTGCACTGCATGCGCATGCGCTGTTCAATATAAATTGTTCTGCGCATATGCGCAAAATGATTTACAGTGAACTGTGAATGTACAGTCACTAAAATCCAAAATGGCGGTGGCCCAGCAGTGGTGATGGAACCAATTTGGTGGCGTGGCACCCAGGCCTGAATTCCATTACCGGTTTGGCTGAACCAGGCCGAACCGGCAGCAACCCATCTCTGATTTAGATGTATTCTGTCCTTTTAGTATATTATAATTTCATTACGGTGTGGTGGTAGCATTCTGTCATAACTCAGACTGAATAATTAATTTTATCCAATGGCAGAGTATTCAAAAGTATAGTTAAGCATGATTATAGTAAGTCTCATTACATATTTTCAGCCAGATTTCCTCTGACATAATTTGTTACATATCTAAATCTCCATGTATTATGTGTATTCTAGATTCATATACATGAGAATACAACTCTGAGCTGTAATTCTAATTTGAGTTTTGCTACTGAAATTCTGGATCATTTAGTTCTTGTACATAAGGCCCATGTTGATTCATTACACCTGCAGTAAGTTCTTTCTTGTCATGCTTGAGTTTGTGAAACACTATTCTGTAGTGGCTAAGATTTAGGATTATTCCATTATTATTATTATTGCATTTTTGTACATAATTTGTATATTGCCCATGAGGTAGTCCTCAGCATGTGACAGTTTGCTTAGCAACCATTCAAAGTTACAATACATAACTTCCCAAAAGATACTTATGACTCAGTTCTGAAGTTTTGATAGTCACATACATACCCATGATCACATGACTGCCACTCCACAACTAACCTGTGTTTATAGCATTAACTTCTGGTTTTTGGCAAAGCCAACCCATAGTAAACAATGGGTTTGCTTTACAACTGTGTTGTTCACTTTATGACATGGTTGTCAAACTGGATTTCTTCGCGGGCTGGATCAGCATTGTAATTGTCTTCTGTGGGCCAGTTGGGGGGAATGGAGATAGGATGACCACCTCCTGCAGCACCTTGCTGGCCAAAATGGGCTGTGGGCACCCAAGCGCTCCGTTTTTGGCTTGGACAGCCTCCTGCAGCACCCTGCTGGCCAAAATGAGGAGGAGTGTGAGGTCTCCCCATGGCNTGAGCCGGTGAGATTTGAACAGCCGAACTGCAGAACTGCAGTCAGCTGAAGTAGCCTGCAGTGCTGCATTTAACCACTGTGCCACCTCGGCTCTCTTACTGCTACAGTAATAGCAATAATAGCAGACACATTAGGGATGTATAACATCATCCATCAGCCATGCTTGCTGATAATAGTCTTATATTTCTGCTCTTATTTGGTTAGGTTATTTACGTTTTATGACTCTACAATGTTGACATGATTACAGTCTTTGCGAGTAGTTTATACAATATGTAATTGAAGACAACAACAGAATATAATAATAATCACTTACAATTTTTTCTAGTGTGGATGTTTATTCAATAATCTGTGGTCTGAGGAGGCCACAGATTTACTCATTACAATTACAATGAATTGGTGCAAGATAGGGCAATTAGTAGGCTTAAATTAGGGGAAACACCTGAGGTTGTATCTCTTGGGTCCATTATGAGAAAATTGATATTCTGGGTTATTGGTTGTATAATGTCTGGCTCCCCAATCATGGATTTATCCCAGTCAGAAATTGTGTATTCCAAAGTATACTTACTGTAATGTCAGGCATGAAATACTAGCTCCATGTGTGAAGGTAACAATTAAACTGATTTGTTGCTAAAGCCTAGGCACATAGGCTTTAGCAATAAATAACTAACAATCAACATCTAGATTTAGATAAGGGCCAACAGCAAACCTGTGGCTATCTAATAATTCTAGGCTGATTCCCCCTATTCACTCAGGCATCCCCAGGTTCTGCAATTCCTTCCCCTACATACAGTATATATATATATATACTGGTGATGGCTAATTTTTTTGTCATCATGTGCTGAAATCTTGCTTGCCAACCCATAATAGAATGCACACGCAACCCCTACCCCACGCAACCCATCCCCTGTGCATGCCCCTCCCATGCAATCTCATGCATCTCCTGCATGTACCCTGCCCCCCCCCCACACACACACGCATGCATGGCAAAGATCCAAAAACCAGCTGGCTGGTGGGAGGTGTGCTCACATGTGTGGCGGAGCTGAGCTGGGGTGACAGCTCATGTGCCCACAGAGGGGGGTCTGCGTGCCACCTGTGGCACACATGCTATAGGTTCACCATCACGGGTATATACGGTACTGTATTAAACAAGTGTGTCCCCCCCCCCGTACTTCAAACTGAAGAAAGAAAAAAGAAAGAAAACCAGTTGTTCATGCCTTTAACAACAAACAAAAGGGAGAATAAGTGTGCCACTAAACCATGCAGGCCTGCCTGGAGACTCCACATAAAAGAACTAGGAGCACACCATAGTAGATAGAATCTCCATCTGCTCACCAGTGGCCTTGCCCATGTAGGGGTTAATTGGCTGCCAAGAATGGTGATTTCCTCCCTGCCACCTCTTTAACCAATCTCTTTATCCTCTTTGAGTCATTTGGCTGCTGTGCTCCCCACATGCCACTTGTATTCAGTTTAGTGAACTTTCGCCAGGGAGTCGACTGGGGATTGCAAACTATCTATTCACACCTGGCAAATGTAAATTGCTTTCTTCTCATCTGTGACACTGATTAATTTTCTACCTTGAGCAACTGCTTAAGAAGTGCTTTGAGGTTTATCATTTTATTTATTTTCTTCTCAGATGAAAAGTAGGATAATAATAGTTGTTTATAGGTTCTACCTAGAAAATTGCTAATTGAATTGTTTGCATTTCTCTTTAAAACTAAGTAGCTAGTAGATTAAAAAATATGTAATTGAGCATTAAAGGCAGACTTTGCATATTTTAAATGTTCTTAGGCAGAAAGATGTTAAGATAATGTCATTTTACATCTAATAATTTGTTAGCCGTACCGGTAACATCATAATTGTTTTTTAAAATGCTTTTCAGAACTTGTTCTTAATTAACATGTAAGACATCAGCTTTATTCGTTCCGACTACCCAGGATCTTTCTGTTTCACATTTGAAGAAAACATCATATTTTACACGTTTCAGTTTTTTATATGTAATCATTGTTTGTATGAGTCACAGCTTTATTTCTTTAATATATTTGTAATAACCTGATGTCCTTCAATATTTACTAATTTCCTAGATGGATGAGAGAGAGAGAGAGAGAGAGAGAGAGAGAGAGAGAGAGAGAGAGAGAGAGAGAGAGAGTGTAAATCTAATGCAAACTAAAAGAAAAAACAGAATAGAAAGGGTTAAAAGTGCANGTTCTACCGAATAGGTGCGAACTGATAGGAACCCACCTCTGGAACATACTCAAGTAATCTCCTAAAGTACCTATAATATCCTGCCTACTTACTCCTTTTTCTAGAGCTTTATTATTATTATTCATTCTCAACCTGTAATGACCTTACCTTTTCACATTCTCTTTGCCACTAGCTGGGGAGGAAAATGCAGCACCAACATGCACAAGTTGTGTCCTGAAGATCTTTTAATCTTTCACTTTTGACAGATCAACAACATTCCCATCTCAATAGTTAGATGATATATGTTGGGCATGCACAGGATAGCCCAAATCAGTTTTGATACAATGCAATTTTGGTTAGGAGCAATAATTCATTATTTATGTGGGACAAGTGACTAAATTGCAATGATGGGTAACTTTTGCCCAAAGCCTGGGCGTGCACATGAAACCCCCAAAATGCAATGTGGGTGTGTGTGTCCCTCTGCATGCATCCCAGCACCCATGTATGCACACACACACACGCATGTATCCCCCCCATGCGCTCCACAGACCTGAAGACCAGCTGGCTGGTGGGAGGCACGCACAAATGCGCAGCGGAGCTTAAACTGGGGCGACAGCTCACGTGCCATCAGAGAGGGCACTGAATACCATCTCTGGCAAACGTGCCATAGGTTTGCCATTAAGGCTATATTGCAAGTGACAATATATACAAGGGACTATATTGATGGTGTTTGGGGATGGGGCGAGGTTAAAGCTTCACTGTAACACAATAGAACGTGACAGAAATCATATACCAAAATACACTGTGTTTACAAACAACAAAACCTGACTTCATATTAATGGAGTTTTAGAAGGCTATACC